TTATCGTATCTTTGCAGTTAGTTTTGAAATCAGAAAGTATAAGTCCTCCAGCTTTATTCTTTTTCAGGATTGTTTTGGATATTCAAGGTCCCTTGAGATACCATATGAATTTTAGGATGAGTTTTTACATTTATACAAAAAAGGTCATTGGGATTTTGATGCAAATTGATGATGTTAATTTTTTCTGTACAAGAATATAATAGCATGTCTTTCCATCATTCAAATATGTTCATGTTTTTCAAGAGTATTTTATATTTTTCCTCATAAATGTTTGGACATTATTTCTTGTTCAGTTTATACCTATGTGTTTGATTTATTTATTTAGTTAATTTAGTTAAGTATCTATTTTCTATTGTAAATGGTGTTTTCCATTTTATTTTCTAACTAGTTTTTGTACGTATGTATGTGTGTGTGTGTGTGTGTGTGTGTGTGTGTATATATATATATATATATATGAAAGCCATTGATTTGTGGGTATTGATGCTATAACTCTATTTTGCCAAATTCTCTTACTGTTCTTTTTTTAAATAAATAAATTTATTTATTTATTTATTTTTGGCTGCCTTGGGTCTTTGTTGCTGCGTGCGGGCTTTCTCTAGTTGCAGCGAGCGGGGGATACTCTTCGTTGTGGTGAAAGGGCTTCTCATCACGGTGGCTTCTCTTGTTACAGAGCATGAGCTCTAGGCACGTGGGCTTCAGTAGTTGTTGCTCAAGGGCTCTAGAGCGCAGGCTCAGTAGTTGTGGTGCACAGGCTTAGTTGCTCCGTGGCATGTGGGATCTTCCCGGACAGGGGATCAAACCCATGTCCCCTGCATTGGTGGGCAGATTCTTAACTATTGGGCCATCAGGGAAGTCCCTCTTACTGTTTTAATAGTTTCTTCATTAGAAATTATGATAGTTTATATATGTAATCTTACCATCTGAAAAGAGTTTTTCCTCCTTTTTAATTATTATGCCTGGGTTGCTTTCTCTTGTTTAATTATATTAGCTAATACCTCCAACATATAGTAAAACCCAGCAGAGATATTGGGTACTTTGACTTCTCCTGACTCTAATGTGAAAGCCTCTAGTGTTTCTCCATTAAATAATATGTTGGCTTTGGGTTAATATATAGAGAGACACACTTTGGAAACAAAAATGAATATTCTCAAGGAATTTAAAGACTCATGGAAGGAGATAGACAAGGAAACAAACTATTTTAATAGTATAATAACATCTGCCATATGCACAAATTGATGTAGATGTACCTTAGAAAAGGCAGTTTTGGTGGTGAGACAGTGATGTTTCTTGATAGGCTTGATATCTGTGTTGAGACCCCGATGTAATTAGGAGTTAAATAGAGAAGGAGGGAAGAGAATTTCACATAAAAGTAATTGCATGGTCAAAGGATAGGAGATAAAAAAAAAGCAGAACTCTATTTGGGACATAGAAGTTCAGTTTAGTGAAAGGTGGGGATTGAAGGGAAGTAGATAGTGAACAGAGTTGAGTCGGTACAGTAAGTCAAGGAGTTTGAATTTTCTACTAGGGCACTGATGATTAAACAATGGTGTTCAAGTGTTTTAAGTAGGGGCTACACTTGATCAGTGGTTTTGAAATTCCTCCTAAAAGAGGTAGCATATATATATCCCTGCCCCATTGGTGTTGTGCTTTGCCATGTGGCTTGCTTTGGCCAGTGGGATGTTAGTGGATATGACATAAGCAAAGACTTAAAATGTACTTGTGGTTGAGTAATGCAGTTGTGTTTGTCCTTTTGAAATGTTTCCATTACCATGAGAAGAGCTTGCCTTGAGGAGCCCATTGGATTCAGAACAATAAGAAAAACAGAGCAGACCTGAACCAAATCTGCAGTCTGGAGCCAAGCCTCGAAAATCCTACTGGAATAAGTAAAAGCTGTCTTACTCACATATGTGATGTGAACAAAAACGATTATTGTTATAAACCGAGTATTGGGCTTGCTTGTCTCACAGCGTTATTACTACCACAGCTGACCAATAAAGAGAAGAAAGCATAACAAAATAAGTCCTGTTTTAAGATAATTAAAATCTTCCTACTGATGTGTAATGGTGGTCTGACTAGGATGATGGCAGAAGAAACAGAAGAGGACACTTTGAGAGACATAAAAAAGACGGAATTTAAAGGTCTCAGTGATTAGTTGGATATCAGAGTTAGGGATGGAGAAGAGGAAAGCATGCCCAGATTTCTTGCTTATGCAACTGGGAGAGTTGGGGGACCTTTCTGTGAGACACAGACCACAGGAAGAAGAGTAGGATCAAAGGTTTGGCTTTGAACTTGTTGGAGCTCAGCTGCCAATGCACAGTCAAGTGGAAATGTCCCTGACATCTGTCTATCCATCTGTAAAATGAGGATAACATCATGTGTCTCTACCTACCTCAACGGCTCTTGTGGAGAACAAACAAGATAAAACATGCAGAAGGACTTTGTAAAGAACATACTACCAATCAACTGTGATAATTATTAAAATTAAAACACTAACACTTTCATTTTCATGCTGCCAGATGCAAAAAGCACACTTTAATTTTATTTTTGAAACTATGCTACTGAGTCTGTTTCTAGTTATACATTCTTTTTTTTATTTTTTGAGAGAAGGCAGAGCTGATGCTTCTGAGAAGCAGTGTAAACAACATATATGTATTTTCAAAGATGTGGAAGGAGAGGACTTAGAGACAAAAGGTCCTAGGGCTGGCAGTGAGAAGAGCCAGCCTCTAACTGTGAGACCTTGAACTATCATTTAAGCTCTCTGGGCCTCTTATTCTTCATTTGTGAAATGAAAGTTTGTATTTGTTGATTTCTAAGCTACCCTTACTGTTCTTGGATACATGAAACTACGGATTCTCTTAACATTTTCAGCTTTACTTACCTCCTACTAACGATAGTCTTTAAATTTATCTGTAATTTAGAATAGAGTTTCATACTTGCCTGTCCCCACCCATGTTGGCTCAAGTCTCTATCAGTTACTTTTCTTTTAGAGCAAATTCAGCTGGTCCAGATTGCCTGTTACATCCCAGGCAGGAAGGCTTATTTTCATCTGTATATAAGGAATAAGGATCTAGAAGTTCTAATTGGTTTACTTCTTTCACTGTGGCAAGATTCCCTTTACCACTTAGTCAAGGTGGTAGTGAGGGTCTCTGTACCAGGCAACTGTGGCTGCCACTGGCCGCCCAGGACCATACACTCGGCAGACAGAACCAATTAGGCCCCCACTTCCTATGAGGTATTGCTGTGTTTGGTGGCTGGGTGTTAGCCCTGCTGAGCCTCCCATCAGAAACCTCCTTGAATACTGGGAGAGGAGGGACAAGTCATCTCCCTCTGGCACTACAGAGCTAGCAAAGAATCCAGATTGTGGAGGTCCAAGAACAGCCTACCCAATGAACATTCTGCCTTTTACAATGGCTAATCCAGAAACTGTACCCCAAATGGGTAACTTGATGTGATAGGGAGAGTGCCAAGAAACAAAATTTCATTTATAAGAGAAAAACTAGAAGTGACTTAAATGCCCATCAATAAGGGATTAGTTAAATGAGCCATGTTATATCCATATAAAAGAATGAATACAGTTTGGGGATTAAGGACCTAGAACCTGGGCCTCAACTGTGGCTCTGCCACTTCTCAGCCTTATGACCTGGGCAAGGCACTTGACCTCTTTGTTTTTCAGTTCCTTCATATATGATCTGAAGATAATAAGTGTTCCTACCTCATTGGGTGCTTGGGGAGTAGTAAATTAGTTAATATATGTAAAGAGCTTAGAATAGTGCCTGGCACATAGTAAATGCTATATAAGTGTTAGTTCTGATTATGACTCTCATAGAGACAATAAACATGATGCTTAGGATGGATTTTTTGAAGCTGGGGGAGAATTCTTGATATGAAGTGAATAGACCAGGATAATAAAGAGTATATACATAATGGTTCATATTCAGTGTCCATGCATGGAAGAAAGAAGAGAAAGAAATATACCACTATTTGATTGAGTTTTAATTTCTTCTTATTTATATTCTTCCATTTTACAAAATTTCTACAAGAGTATATAATATTTTATAACTAGAAGGATCAATAAAAATTTTAGGAAGGAAAAAGAGAAGTCCCCAGTGTTTGAGACCTTGCAGAACATGGTCTGAAGTCCATTGGTGGACTGGTAACCACTCCAAAGTTTAATCTTTGCAGAGTTCTCATGAGCAAAAGATCCCAAATCCACAGGATTTTATATTCTCATGACTGGAAACTAGTGAGCATCTGAGTGATTTAGTAAGGGCTATTAAAATTATAAACTAAAAATAGTTATGTTAGAGTTTACTGCAGACTCTAAGTCAGTATTCTACTAAAATGTCTGGCTGTTACTTCATGCTTGGCAGTACTACAAAACTCCTCTATATGTTGGTTTAATTGCAACTTCAGCAATTTTTGGAAATGGTACTTTGTTACCAATGAATCATTAGTTTGTCTTGATTTGGGTCCAGTTTTCAATTGCTGCTACTCTTGCTTTTTAATTACAAAGTAATAATCATTTAGATTCATCGTTACCAAGTTAGTTTGTTGTGGATTGTTTGGTTGATTCTTAACAGAGTGCAGTGATAATATATTTATATCAAGATAGTTTAAGGCTGATAATTTTTTGATGTCTAGACATATTTCATTGGATTTTGAATATAAATGATCTTTTCCTGTAATGTTAAAGCAGACGAACCCTCCCTCTCTAGCACACCCCAAATTTGCATGTATGGTGACATCACTGTATAACTATCGCTGAGTTAGTCACAGATAGAACAGGTTGACCAATTCAGTTAGTGGTCAGCAAAGATGCAATATACAAAATGACCTTAAAATTCATTTTCAGATGAAAAAAAATGATTCTAATTCTATCTGATGCAAAATGTGTTAATTACCATTAGTAGAAGCATGTGTTGGTGTGAGTCTATGTTTCCAACCTAACTCTCAATTTTCCTAGCCAATTACCAAGAAAAGTTCAGGTATTTGTTACTCACTTGGCCATCCAGGAATCTGCAACTGAGTGCTCCCGTTAGGAGTTTCTGGTTGTCCTCTGGTTTCTGGTTTTTCTCTGGGTGCTTGCTCTTTTCCACATCATCTGGGTCATAATTGATTTGATGATCTATGGGATTAGTAGAAGCTGGGGGGTCTCTGCTAATCTGCTTTGCAGTACCAGACACTGATTTCTGGAGTACTGTTTGAGTTTCTGCCTTCAAGTTCTCATTCTCCTTGCTGGGAAGAAACAGTTTTGCACTTTGTTACTCAGGGCAGACTCCATCTGCACTAGGCTGGCATAAGCAAAGTAAGGTATTAGTATGGCGTTGGGAACATTGGTAACTTAGCATGGCGTAATGAAGAAGTAAACATTGGTTATTTGTCTAGGGATCATTTACCATAGAGAGACCACGTTATTCTCTTCTCAGGCTTTATCTTCCATATACTCATAAGCTGTCCATCTGCTCCAGAACCCTTACTGTAAGAAACGGCAGTGTCAAAGATGAACCGTAAAGGTTATCACATATCTTTTTTACTTACAAGTCTAACAGGTATTTCCAGTGTTTGCAACTAGAAAAGGAAGAAAGTCAAGGCAGTTTGCCAGCTCCAGTTCTGCTCTATGTCTCTCCTTAATTGCCTCACCGTGAGGCTTCTTTTTCTCTCAGTAGTCTTCCATTTAATTTTAATATTAAATATAGAGGGAAAAAAAAAACCTGTAGGAAATTTAAATAAAAAACAAAAATCTAAAAATTATTCAACGTTGTTTAATAACTAAAGACATAAGTCAAAACAATTACAAGGTATTGTTTTATTTGTTTATTTTATTTTATTTTTTTAAGTATTATTTATTTTTTAAATATTTGGCTGCATTGGGTCTTTGTTGCTGTGAGTGGGCTATTTTCTGGTTGCGGTGAGTAGGGGCTACTTTTCATTGTGGTGCACGGGCTTCTCATTGTGGTGGCTTCTCTTGTTGTGGAGCACAGGCTCTAGGCACGCAGGCTTCAGTAGTTGTGGCATGCGGTCTCAGTAGTTGTGGCTTGCGGGCTCTAGAGCACAGGCTCAGTAGTTGTGGCACATGGGCTTAGTTGCTCTGTGGCATGTGGGATCTTCCCAGACCAGGGCTTGAACCTGAGTCCCCTGTCCCTTGCATTGGCGGGTGGATTCTTAACCACTGCGCCACCAGGGAAGCCCAAGGCATTGTTTTAAATATAGAAAACTTCTTTGGAAATAAGAAAAACAAATGCTCATGGTCACATAAATAGATATAATTCTTATAGTGGATGACCAGACTAAACATGTTAAGAGTCAGGAACTTGAAATTTTTAACCTAGTAAATCAATGCAGAAAAAGAAAAATTTAAAACTCTAAGTATTTTTTAATAGATGGATGGGTTGAGTATTTCATTCTATGTTCATATGAGAGAATGTATGGAGCCATTAAAATAGTTATGAATAATTTTAATGACAAAAGAAAATGTCTACTTATACAAATAAATGAAAATATATAATTATCTTAACTATAAATTCATGTATAGATATATATGTGTTCATGTGTTAGAGTACATAGTATATCTAGAAGGAAATGTCAGAAGTAAACAGTAAGTATCTCCTAACAGAAGTTAGGATATTGCATTATGCTATATTATATCATATTATATCTTATAAAACTATTATTCTAACTTTCCTACATGAGGAAATGTTATTTTATTATCAGGAAAAATAAATTTAAAAATAGCTATGCCTTAAGCAGAACACTCTATGACATAAATCACAGCAAGATCCTTTTTGACCCACCTTCTAGAGTAATGGAAATAAAAACAAAAATAAACAAATGGGACCTAATGAAACTTAAAAGCTTTTGCACAGAAAAGGAAACCACAAACAAGATGAAAAGACAACACTCAGAATGGGAGAAAATATTTGCAAATGAAGCAACAGACAAAGGGTTAATCTCCAAAATTTACAAGCAGCTCATGCAGCTCAATATCAAAAAACCAAAAAACCCAATCCAAAAATGGGCAGAAGACCTAAATAGACATTTCTCCAAAGAAGAGATACAGACTGCCAACAAACACATGAAAGGATGCTCAACATCACTAATCATAAGAGAAATGCAAATCAAAACTACAATGAGGTATCACCTCACAATGTTCAGAATGGTTATCATCAAAAAATCTAGAAACAATAAATGATGGAGAGGGTGTGGAGAAAAGGGAACCCTCTTGCGCTGTTGGTAGGAATGTAAATTGGTACAGCCACTGTGGAGAACAGTATGGAGGTTCCTTAAAAAACTAACAATAGAACTACCATACGACCCAGCAATCCCACTACTGGGCATTTACCCGGAGAAAACCATAATTCAAAAAGAGGCACATACCACAATGTTCATTGCAGCTCTATTTACAATAGCCAGGACATGGAAGCAACCTAAGTGTCCATTGACAGATGAATGGATAAAGGTGGCACATATATACAATGGAATATTACTCAGCCATAAAAAGAAACGAAATTGAGTTATTTGTAGTGAGGTAGGTGGACCTAGAGTCTGTCATACAGAGTGAAGTTAAGTCAGAAAGAGAACAACAAATACCTTATGCTAACACATATATATGGAGTCTAAAAAAAAAAAAAAGGTTCTGAAGAACCTAAGGGCAGGACAGGAATAAAGACGCAGACATAGAGAATGGACTTGAGGACACGGGGAGGGGGAAGGGTAAGCTGGGACGAAGTGAGAGAGTGGCATGGACATATATACACTACCAAATGTAAAATAGATACCTAGTGGGAAGCAGCCGCATAGCACAGGGAGATCAGCTCGGTACTTTGTGACCACCTAGAGGGGTGGGATAGGGAGTGTGGGAGGGAGATGCAAGAGGGAGGTGATATGGGGATATATGTATATGTACAGCTGATTCACTTTGTTATATAGCAGAAACTAACACACCATTGTAAAGCAATTGTACTCCAATAAAGATGTTAAAAAAATAAATAAAATTAAAAAAAATAGCTATGCCTTATGCCTAGATGGTTGTATAAATTTTAGCTCTTGTTATTGACACAGTGGAAAGGACCCATTTTAAAGCATGTCATGTTATGTGAGCATAAAACAATTGCTACAATACTTGTTTATTTGAATAAGGCCAAGATTTGATGTATGTATATTTTTTACATTAATTCTCTTAGTCATGGCAGCATGAGAAGCAAAGAAGGCTTAAGAAAGAACTCTGAGGAACACCTACATTTACAGAGGGAAGAGCCCTAAAAGGAGATTTAGAAGAAATTCTAAGTAAGGTGGAAGGGAAACCAGGAGAATGTGGTCTGGCAGCAAAGTGAAGAGAATGTTTCCAGAGAGAGGGCATAGTCAACAGTGTCATGTGCTGCTGAGAAAGATGAGTCCTGAAAAGTGTCCGTTGAGTTAAGCCATAAGTACGTCATCAGGAATCTTGATAAGGGGAGCTTCCTGAGGTAACAGAGGTGGACACTAGAGTGAAGTGGGTTGAGGTAAGAGGGGAGACAAAAAGCTAAAGGTAGGAAGTATAAAGACCTCTTTGAAGAATTTTGGTTGCAAGAGAAGAGAGCGATGGGGTGGTGACTGGAGTGCAATGTTGATTTCAGATAGGGCTTTGTTATTATTATGTTTATCTCCAAAATATACAAACAGCTTGTACAACTCAACAACAAAAAAACAAACAACCCAATCAAAAAATGGGCAGAAGACCTTAATAGATATTCCTCCAAAGAAGACATATAGATGGCCAGTAGGCACATGAAAAGATGCTCAACATTGCTAATTACTAGAGAAATGCAAATCAAAACTACAATGAGATACCACCTCACACTGGTCAGAATGGCTATCATTAAAAAGTCTACAAATAACAAATGCTGGAGAGGGTGTGGAGAAAAGGGAACCCTCCTACACTGTTGGTGGGAATGTAAGTTGGTGCAGCCACTATGGAAAACAATGTGGAGGTTCTTCAGAAAATTAAAAATAGAATTACCATATGGTTCAGCAATCCCACTCCTGGGTATATACCTGGACAAAAATATAATTCAACAAGATACATGCACATCTATGTTCATAGAAGCACTATTCACAACAGCCAAAACATGGAAACAACCTAAATGTCCATCAATAGAAGAATGGATAAAGAAGATGTGGTAAATATATACAATGGAATACTACTCATTCTTAAAAAAGAACGAAATAATGCCATTTGCAGCAACATGAATGCAACTAGAGATTATCATACTAAGTGAAGTAAGTCAGAAACAGAAAGACAAATACCATATGATATCACTTATATGTGGAATCTAAAATATGGCACCAGTGAACGTATCTACAAAACAGAAACAGACTCACAGACATAGAGAAGAGACCTGTGGTTGCCAAGGGGGAGAGGCGTGAAGGAGGGAAGGACCGGGAGTTTGGGATTAGCAGATGTAAGCTATTGTATATAGAATGAATAAATAACAAGGTCCTACTACTGTGTAGCACAGAGAACTATATTCAATATCCTGTGCTAAACCATAAGGGAAAGGAATATAAAAAAAAGCATGTCTCTATGTGTATCACTGAGTCACTTTGCTGCACAGCAGAGATTGGCTCAACATTGTAAATCAACTATACTTCAATTAAAAAAACCCAAAATTATAAAAAAGAAACTAAAGACAGTAGGGACTTTAACATATTTAAATGAAGAGCCGGGACTTCCCTGGTGGCACAGTAGTTAGGAACCAGCCTGCCAATGCAGGGGACACAGGTTCTATCCCTGGTCTGGGAAGACTCCACGTGCTGCAGAGCAACTAAGCCTGTGTGCCACAACTACTGAGCCTGTGCTCTAGAGCCTGCGAGCCAAAACCTCTGAAGCCCGCATGCCTAGAGCCCGTGCTCCGCAACAAGAGAAGCCACCGCAATGAGAAGCCCACTCATAGCAATGAAGAGCAGTTCCCGCTCACCACAACTAGAGAAAGCCCGCGTGCAGCAACGAAGACCCAACGTAGCCATGAATAAATAAAAAAATAAATAAACAAACAAAAAATAAATGAAGAGCCAACTGACCAAAGGAGAGGATATCATTGATTAAATAAGGTGAACCCTGACAAAGTAAGATCTCTGAGAGAACAGAGATAGAAATGAAACTTCAGGGTGGGGAAGTAGGAAGATGAGTGAGGATGTAGGCAAATTTTAACATTTGGCGACAGGAGACTGACCAAATTGCTGACAGCTTGAATTTTCTC